ATAGAAGAAAAGATAATAAACAAAATTCAAAAACAAAATCAAAAAATCTGATCGAAGGACACCACAAGCAGTTGAAGACAAAAGCTTCTAAAAACTCAAGAGATGGAAAAATTGGAGAGGTCAAATGATACCAACCTAGTAGGTAACTTTACTCCCAAAAAATGAAAATATAATCATGCCTCATAAGATCCTGCAATGGAACTGTCGTGGAATAAAATCAAATTACAATGACCTACTCATACTTATGTCACTACTGTATCCAGCCGTCATCTGCTTACAGGAAACTTTTTTACAAGAAAATACCAACTTAAAAATTAAAAATTATAAACAATACCACTATAACCACAATACAGGACATAGAGCTAATGGAGGAGTGTCAATATTGATCAGAAATGACATACCGCAAAGTACACATTAAAACTAAATTACAAGCAATAGCAACACAAGTGACACTAGATAAAAACAATTCTTTCCATTTATATACTCCCACAGGAACCAATAAATACAACAGAAATAAACAACTTGATGGAGCAACTTCCCAAACCCAGAATCTTACTAGGAGACTTTAACAGTCATAATCCTATATGGAATAGCAAAAAGCTAGATACTAAAGGAAAAATATTAGAAGAAATAATTAACACCCATAACTTATGTCTATTAAATCATAAATCCTCAACCTACCTTAATCCCTCCAATGGAACAGAATCATCAATAGACTTAAGTATATGCGATCCAGAAATTTGTATGGATTATACATGGAAAACACATAGTGACACATGTGGCAGTGATCATTACCCGATCATACTAGAAAATCAAAAAGCCTGCCAAGGAAGAAAAGATAGGCCCCCGTCAGATGGAAACTGAAAAGAGCCAACTGGGAGGGTTTCAAAAACAAATGTAAACAAGTACTGATACAGTCAAAGGACACAGACAACTCGGTAGAATACTTTACCAAAACATTAATAACCATTGCCTCAGAAAATATACCAAAAAAGCAAAATAATTATAAAAAACTAAACCCTGGTTTGACAAAACTGCCAAAAAGCAGTCAGAAACCGAAGCAGCATTACAAATTCAAGAAGGAACCCACAACCCAAAATTTGATTGAAATGAAAAAACTCAAAGCAGTAGCACGGAAAACTGTAAAAAGAAGCCAAAAGGAATGTTGGAAAAAATATGTAAACAGCCTAAATACACATTCTAAAACCAAGACAATATGGGAAATGATGAGGAAAATAGCTGGAAAAAATCAAATACACCCAATAATACATCTTAAAAAGGACAACACTAAAGCAACTAGCAAAAAGAGATAGCAAACCTACTAGCAGACACATTTGCAGAAAACTCTAAAATGAGCAAAAAAATCAAAACCTACAAAAGTGTAAACAAAAAGATATAAATAACCAATTAAATTTTTCATCTAAAAATACAGAAGCCTACAACAACCTATTCACTGAAGCGGAACTAATAGAAGCCATAAAAAATCCCATAATACAGCAGTAGGCCCAGACCAAATCCACTATGAATTTATTAAACAACTACCACAAGAATCGCTGAAATACCTTTTGAATATTTTTTAACAATATTTGGACTACTGGGAAATTTCCCAAAATATGGAGAGAATCGGTAATTATTCCCATACTCAAAGAAGGAAAAAGAAAAAACCCACAAAGTTGTCGACCAATAGCATTAACAAGCTGTCTATGTAAGACAATGGAGCGAATGGTCAACGCCAGATTGAGTTGGTTTCTAGAAGAAGGAAAACACATATCAGAATATCAATGTGGATATAATAAAGGAAGAAGTACAATAGATCACATAATAAGACTAGAAACTGCCATAAGAGAGGCCAATTTAAACAAACAACATCTAATAGCCATATTCTTTGATATAGAAAAAGCATTTGATCAAACCTGGAAACATGGTATAATGAAAGATCTGCATAAACTAGGATTAAGAGGTCGACTACCAAAAACTTCAGAAAAGGATTTTAACAGATAGACTCTTCCAAGTACAAATAGATACTACACGTTCTGATTATCAAAAGCAAGAAGAGGAGTACCACAGGGAAGTGTACTCTCCCCTACACTTTTCAAAAATAAAAATAAATGACATAATAAAAAAACATCAAATCAGGAATACACTGTAGCCTTTATGTTGATGATTTTACAATATATTACAGATCAAGAAACCTCAACACAGCAGAAAGACAACTTCAACAATGTTTACATCAAATAAACAAATGGACACTCGAAAACGGTTTTAAAATATCAAAACAAAGACAAAATCTGTACACTTCTGCTAAATGAAAAATTACACAATAACCCAACTCTAAAACTAGGAAATGAAGAAATACCAGTAGTTCAGCAATATAAATTTCTAGGAATGATCTTTGACAGCAAACTGACCTTCAGACCACATATCAATTACCTAAAAACAAAATGTTTTAAAGCTCTCCAACTACTGCGAACAGTAGCCCATACAGAATGGGGAGCTAGCAAAGAAACCCTTCTTAAGCTTTATAGAACGTTGATCCGCTCCAAACTGGCCTATGGCAGCATGGTCTACCAATCAACTAGAAAGTCTTATCTAAAAACAATAAACACAATACACCATGAAGGCCTTGGATAGCTCTAGGAGCCTATCCCACCTCACCTATAGAGAGTCTACATGTAGAGGCAAACGAACCCCCATTACAACTAAGAATGGAGAAACTAGCTACTCAATACTATCTAAAACTCTCTTCCTGTCCTTCTAACCCCACACACGATTGTGTACTTACACCAAATCACAAAGAGAAATTTAATCTTAACACAAATAAAATCAAAACATTGGGACTCGGATGGAAGGAATCATCCAAGAAAATAATATACCGTCTAATCAAATACTTAAAACCAACCAATCAAACATACCACCATGGATAATCAAAAATCCAAACATAATATTAAGTTTAAACAAATTATCAAAATCAAAAAAACACACCCCACAACATACATTGAAAAATTCTCAAAAATAAAAGAAAAATATCAAAACTATGAAAGTATTTACACAGATGGATCAAAAGACGAAGAAAAAACAGGCAAGCGCAGCAATAACAAAAAAACAATTATCAAAAAAACGCTTGCCAAATGAAGCATCAATTTTCAGTGCAGAAGCCTACGCAATAAAACTAGCACTAAATTTCATATCAAAAACAAAGGAGAAAACTATATTATTTTCTCAGATTCATTATCGGTATTAACATCCCTAAAAGGAAAAGACTGGAAAATCCATTAATACAAAGTCTTCTATATAAACTACATTCAATGGAAAAAAAAGCAAAAATATCATCTTCTGCTGGATTCCTAGCCATGTTGGCATCCAAGGAGGAGATAAGGCAGATAATGCTGCTAAATCATCTTTAAAATGACAATTGACGAAAATCTTCAAATTCCATATACAGACTTAAAATCTAAAATATATAAATACATAAGAAACAAATGGCAAAATCTATGGAAAAACCAAACCGAAATAAATTATTTCAAATTAAACCTAAAATAGGAAAAAATGGGAAATGATCTTGGAAATACTCGGAAAAAACAAGTTGTCATAACCAGAACACATATAGGACACACATATTTAACTCATTCTCACATATTAAAAAAGACAAATCCACCAAAATGTAGATGTGGAAGCCTAATCACAATAAGACATATTCTATCGGAATGCAAAATCATAACTAGAATAAGACAGAAATATCTCAATGGAAAAGATTTAAAAGAAATATTCAAAAATACAGACACAGAAAAAATATACAGTTTTCTCAAGGAAATAAAAATCCTCAATAGAATATAAATAGTGTATATATATGTGATTATAGACATATATATGCATCTATGAATGTAAACAGTAAAATACACAATCGAAACAGTCACAAAAAGCAATCCCAAAAAATACAGAAAATTATGAAACCCAACAACCTTTTAACTTTTTATACAAAATAACCAACTTAAATTCATAAATTAATAAGGCTTCGGCATAAATTGACCCAAATAGGAGTTGAAATGCCGTTAAATCCAACATCCATCCATCTACTGCTCGTTATACTATTCAGCGATTACTACTTGAACCAGTGTTACTAGTGCTGATATTATTGGCATTACTATTAGTACCAATGTCTATGAAGTCTTGAATATAACAAAAATTTTTAGAAATGTTGCTTGACATAGCAAAAGTGACAAGCGAAGCCGTCCAACATCACAAAACTATCTAACCTATTTAGTTTTTATATGCTTACAAATATTTCAGAATGTAAATAAAAACTTTAAAAACATTATTGCGCTGAATGTTAGTGTGTGATCTCAGTTTCATATCTGAGTTGGTTGGATTTATCTCTACCACAACATGAAATGTTCCACATGAAATTGATAAATACCTCATTTTAGTTTGTATTTAAGATTGCACATAGCATAAAGACATTTTTTTTTGTGTTTAAGTTTCTTTTATTGAGTGACCATAATGGCAAGACTTTATTATTTTTAAAATGACAGCTTTATAACTTTTCTAGTGTTATGGAAACCTTGTACCCAGTTCTACTGATAAATGTTTGTTTCATTTAGTGCAACAGGCAATTTTTCTCTCTATTAAATGGGGATCTGAGTAAATCCTGTAAATGGGGTGGAGTCATATATGAATGTTTGGAACCAAGACTCAACGATTTATCAGGACAAATTCATTTTCTCTCTTCTCCACAGACAGTTTCTAATTTTGTATGGTTTTGTTGAACTTGCGCATCTTCCCTGCATGGCTAGAATACTAAAATGTTATTCATGGAATATATACACATACAACTACTTCATGTATAATTTACTCTTTGACTTGTTTATTATTTGGTGTGAATGGGAAAAGTTTTAAATTCTTGGGTCTCATGAGTGATGGTAAAAATAGAATGTAATATATGCATGTCATAAATATGTATGCAATAAATTAAAATTAATATATTCTGATTTTCTATCTTACAGATTTGGAAGAATTGAAGCATGATATTTTATCTCGAATATGGATTACATATCGCAAGAATTTCAGTCCAATTGGTAAATTATGCATATTATTTTTTTTTAATTTCTGTCTGTAATTTTTGTGAAGCCTGTTTTTATCTTTATGCCTTTTAATGTGCAATGCTTTGTTACCCAGTTGTTTATGTATGTGCCTTTTTATTTCTTTTTTTTCTTTTTTTTTTTGTATTGTAGGTGGTACTGGTCCCACAGCAGATACAGGATGGGGCTGCATGTTACGATGTGGCCAGATGATGATGGCTCAATGTCTCATTGTCCGCCATCTAGGGAGAGGTGTGTGTATCTCTTTTCTGTTCTTGTTTTTTTTTTTTTTTTTTTCCATCTAAAGGAAGTGAATTATCAAGAAGAGAGATCTTTGCTGAAAAAATTATTTAACAACTCATATTTCTAATTTGTGATGAATGATTTTCTGGTTAAAACTATGTGAATGTTGCATTGCTTACAGTTTTTCTCCAAGTTTTAGGCTCTATATTATTTCAGAAAGTCCAGGTAAGATTTTGTCAAATCCCTAAAAGATAATTGAAATGTTATGGAGAGTGTAAATTTATAAAATAGATATTATTTTAAACAAATTCATAAAATATATTTAGGTATCTTATCAAATCCTACTATTTTTTGGTATGTGTTTTCTGGCCATTTCAGTTAGTTTTAAAATGTTTTTCTTTGTGAACATAAAAACTCTATCTCCTCACTAAATATGCCTTATTGAATGAATTTTCCATTGATATTTAAGTTAATGCAAATATACAAATTCCTTTAGTTAAGAAAGTGACTATGAGAGTGAAATAAATTAACAGTTCATTTGCTAAACGATTGAAATACTCAAATTCTAAATATTCGTATTTTTACTGATTTGTTCATGATGTATCAAACAAATCCTGTTTGTCAGATTCAAGGAAACTAAGATGTTTTTATTGGAATGCATAATGCTGGCAATATTTTCTGTTTAAATGTAGAAGCAGTTAATTAAAATTTGCACATCTATATTTAGAGAAAGGTTCATCAAAAAATCGAATGAGGTTGTAGGAAAGTAACTATGCATAGATGCTGATATGGTTCACAAACATAACAAATATTTATTTTGTTCAAATTATTTGAAGCTTTTAAAAAGCCAAATGGAATTGTGTGCTAAAGTAACTTATGGTTTTTGTACTTATATTCTTTGTTGATTTTTTTTTTTTAAATGGGATTTTTTTTTTGTTTTTTCCAGGATGGAGATGGAGAAAATCTTCCTATGAAAATGACAAAACCTATATGAAGATTCTCCGTCTTTTTCAAGACAAGCGTACCTCATATTATTCTATCCACCAAATTGGTAAGTGTTGTTGATTCTTTAAATGTATGACTTTGCTGGTATTACACTGATAATTTATTTAAGGCAGTAATGTACTTAGAGAATCAGATAAATTAGGTCATCTTAGGTTTGGCAAAAGAAGTTCATGCAAGTTGATCTCCAATCAACAAGAGATTATTTTGGACTATAGATTACATTTGAGAGGATATGAAAGTAAAACTGAAACACTGACATTTGACATCAGGCCATTTTTTTATTTAATTTTTATTATTACATCTATTTCCAGAAAGTGATGTGATTGTTGTCCTTTCTTTAATTATCCTAAAAATGAGAAAGGTTTTTGAAGTATTTACTTCTTGGGGAAAATATCTTCAAATGAATGTTGGAAAATGAATTGAAGAAGATAAATCCTCTTGATTTAAAAAAAAAATAATTTTTCTCCCTAAAATGATATGAAAGCTCAAAATTCTTGATGAAGTTTAGTGTCTGATGTTAAATTCTATTCTCTAGTCCCAGATTATTTCATTTGATAAAAAGGTCCAAATACTGTGATTGCAAACAGATTTGTAGTAATTATATTGGATCATGAGAACTGAATAATTCCTACCAGACTTAGCTTGATGAAACTTTTTCTAAATAATATTTTTCCAACTTTCAGCTTCAATGGGTGTGTCTGAAGGAAAAACAGTTGGAAGCTGGTTTGGACCAAATACAATTGCTCAGGTTTTAAAGTAAGTTGGTTCTTATAATTATTACTAATCACTTAAAGGTTACCAAAAGCACTTTTTAAGTACAATGTCAAGATACTTTATATTTGTCAAATTTATATTAGCAATAGTTTTACTGTATCATAAAAATATCTCCTGATAATTTGCTAGGTATGTCTCTTTATTGCCACAATAAAAATAGTTAAAAAAAAAATTAAATTTCCAAAAAATGTGGGTACTTGAAATCTTTAGTGAAATTTCCTCATTCCTGATGTTTAAATGTGATCAAAGTATTTGAAGGTAAGACAAATGTTTCAAGTATGGTATAATTCAACTAATAGATAATTCAAATTTATATATTCTTAGGGTCAAAAACCTATTTAGGTCATCTGCCGGAACTAAATTAAAATTACCACTTGTAGGTTTTCAGTTAATTTCAACAAATTTTCAATTGTTTTGTACTTGTAAAATGCCAAAACAGCTTTTCTTGTTTATGTTCAATACTTTTAGATTATTAAATTAAACATTGAATAATTGATTTTTACATCAGCAAAAAAATAAGAATTTGTGATGTTTTAAAAAAAATGTATTCCATTTTATGTATGGGGATTATTATAAAAGTATTAACTTTGTTGTATGTTATTTTACACTGTAAGGTTCCAACACATCAAACAATTGAAATTTATTTCCATTGACTACAACTTAGTGTTGAGAGGTGACAATCATAAATGAAAAATTCTTCATTTTAAATTGGTAAAAAAAAGTCATAAAAAGCAATGTATTTGTAAACTGATTTCACTACTTAGCAATTATTAGGATAGCACAAAGTTCTACTTCACAAGATAATCCTTTCACAGCTTACACTGTAATGAAGTAGGCTCTCAACTCTAGTTGAAACATTCTCCAGAAGTGTTCCAATTGAATGAGTACTACACGCATACCAATGTTTCCAACTGAATTTTTTTTATCTTGGCTAAAACTACCTCAAAAAATGGTTGGATCAGTTTTTTTCAATTTTTAGTTAACATTATGGCTAAAAATTGGATACTAATTTAATGCCCAATAATAAAATAACTATAAACTAAGACTCCAGAATAGTTATTTTTCAGATTAGTAAATTTACTATAAAAAATTAGTGTCTGATGCCAACATTTTTTTAAGCAAAAGTTTGTTCAAATTTGGTTAATTAATATTGTATTGAAAAAAATATTAAATACAACTTAATTTCTTTTCATTGATTTTGATCTTCATTTCCTCTTGAATGTTTTCTCTTTTAAAAAGTCATTTTTAATATGAACATTATGGAATTGGCTCTAACTTTGCCAGTTAATTTACAATGTATGTCTATCTTTGCTCAATCTACAATCTTAAGCTTGACCCTTTAAATTACCGTTTCAGCCAAGCCACAGCTTTTAATGACATTGTAATTAAGTTGTTTTAAAGCAGAAGTTGAGTCATCTTAAAAAAAATTCTGGAGAGAACTATGATCTTATGCATTGAAAGCACAAAAAAAATACTGAAACTTAAATTTGAGTTATTAATTCAATGACAAAAATTTCCTCTACAGCTCAAAAACAATTTTAAAAATGCCATGAAAAAATTCAGTAACAAATTTTTTGTGCTGGAGCATTTATCGTACTTGCTTCATCCAAATTTAATTGCTAATTGTATTTTGATCATTTTCAGTTCCATTTTGTTTGCACTATGTTCATTATCACTGAAAAAACTTTCATCTTCAGCACTTGTGCAGAACAGTACTAATAGTGAAGTTAGAAATTCTGTAAGCTCTTTGAAAAGATTACTTCCAAAAGAATTCTTATATTCTAATACAAAAGCCTGAAAATTATTCCAGTGTCAGTTTTATTGTTCCAAGCAATTAAATGCAGTTTTGAGCACTGAATTTCAATAGGAGAAATGCACTTCTGTTGCCTCTGTTCTTCTCATCAAATTGACAATGGCCTCTTTAATTGCATGTATAGCTTTGGTAATTGGAAAAAAAATTGCAATACTTTTTAGTATTTCTTGTCTGGTAATCTTTATTTCACATGATTGAAAAGCATTAAATGAAATTGTTGGCACCTTTCTCTTGTACACTTTTCTTGGTCTTTAGATAATTTTCCATTAGTTTTCTTAATTCTTTGATTTTTATTTTCAAAGGTGTATCCTAAGCAAGGTCTTTTTTCCAAATAATTTACAGTGTTGGATGAAACTGGGTCCACAGTAGAAGTTGGTAGTAGTAATTGATCATTCTAAGAAGTGTCAGATCATCTAAGTTTCATTTTATCTGCTGATGCATATTCAAATAACTTATTAACTTTTAGAACTTCTAAGAGAATTTGGATAGAAAAACATTAGGTAAAAAACGTTCTTCTCTTTATACAATTCATAAAGTACGTGTAACATTTCTGTTCTTTGTGTTATTTTGAAATGGAATTTTAATTCATTTCATTGAACTAATATTCTTCCTAAAGCAGATTCAATGGATAAGCGTCTAGATTTAGCATTTCTAGAAATTTTTAAGAGAGTTTTATCATCATCATTTATAGCAATATAGAAATTACTATAAGCCAACTTATGTGATGCAGATGGTGAGAACCATTTCTGAGTTTTCTGCTAAATATCCTACAATACATAATAATAATCCATAATGAATTTAATAAATATTTAAAAGGAGTCTAATATGAAAATGAGTTTTTCATCAGATTTTATCCTATACATAAATAAATGACACTCATTATAGTTTTGTAAATAATTAGTTTTGATAATCAGTTAAAATCAAATCTGTTCCTAATCTGTCCATTTTTTAAAAATTTCTTTCTTGTGCCTGATGATTATGAATAAAATTTGCATTTGGTCTCCATATCTCTTTCATGCATAAATCTAACATTATTTGCTTTTCTGTCATGTATGTTCATTTTAATTTATAAGTCTACCATTCATCCATGCATTGAATATTGCTGTCAGATCCGGTTGGGTGCTTCTGCTATGTATTTAGAGATTCTTAATAAAATACAAAGAATTTGCAATGTTATCTGTCTTGAACTGGCGTCTTGGCTTCAGTCACTTTCCCATCACCGTAATGTAGTTTTCCTGTGCCTTTTCTATAAATATTTTCCTGGTAAGAAATCTCATGAATTTTCCTTTTTGGTACCTCAACTTTATAAGCGCAGTTCCATATTGTTACTAGTTAGGTCCTATCATTTTAAAGTTGAAATTGCCATATGTAATCATAAGTTCTGTGCTAACAATTTCTTCTCTCGCACTTCTCGCCTGTGGAACTCTTTTCCATCTTCTTGCTTTCCAGTCATTTTTGATCTTCAAAAAATAAATGCGGTGTCATTTGTTATCTGGTCTTCATAATTCCTGTTCTTTTATTGTTCTCTCTCCTTCATAATGTTTTTCTTTTTCTCATTTTTTCAAACTTGTAACTCCCTAGTGTCTTAGTGACTTTATTACCTTGCTTGGGGTGAAATGATTAAAAAAAAAAAATTTAAATAATCTCTACATTTTAATAATAAAAATAGTTTGACTTTTTATTTTTAAGCTTCCATCATCATCATTGTGCAGACACTGAATTTTCATCTCTCATAATATAATGGTTGTTCTCTCTTGATTTGAACACCTATTGGAGACTTGAGTTCATCCCAGACAGTTCAAGTGGAACTCATTTATACAATCCATTGCAAAAAATGCTGGGAAAGTTGGTCAGTTCCTTGTAGCACACCAGAAAGTACTTGACTTCCCCTGCTCTACTTTGTCTTTACAAGAGCCAGCTCAAACCAAAAATGGGGTGCTAGTGCCATCTCTGGGCTGGAATTACCCACGCCTCACTTTTCAGTCTTGAAGTGTCCAGTTGAGTAGCATGTTTACAGCTTTGTAGGTGATTAATTATTTTCCACTTTACAACCCCTATCCTACAAACAAACCTGGGCATGACGATAAACTACATCCGCATCCTGGGCATGACGATAAACTACATCCACGTCCTGGGCATGACGATAAACTACATCCGCAACCTGGGCATGACGATAAAAATAATGTTGCCAGCTGTACGTTTTGGGGGAAAAAAGAAAAATATTACCAGCTATACATTTTTGAGGAAAAAAAATATTAACAGAAATGGATTTTTGACAAAACAAAAATATTACCAGGAAAAAAAAAATAAAGTTGTCGGCATTAAATGACCCATTGAGGTTGATATGCCACAAAACAAACCAAACCTACAGACAAAATGTCCCATCAATATTTCCATAGCAAATGTTCTGATGAGCTACATTCCTTAGTTGTACCAGTTGAATCTTTCCTTTACCTGAGAAAAAATAAATTGTCCTGTGTGTGGCATCTGTGGGCCTCATTTGTTCTATTTTTGTGATAATGGTTTTCAAACTTGAGTTGTTTTTTTAAATCCTCGATGCTCATTTCCAAAGATGCAGCTATTCCTTTCCTATACAACAAATGAACCACCAAAATCCTACTTATTCTTAGGAAGATCAGTCAGTTTGCTCCATATACACAAGTTCAACAAAATTAGATTGATTGCTGTCAAAAAGTAAAATAATGGTGTAAGTTTTCCTATGTATAATTTTTTATTTCATTTTTCATTACAGAAAAATCTCTGTTTATGATGAATGGAGTTCAATAGTAACCCATGTTGCAATGGACAATACAGTTATTGAAGATGATATCAGTGAGTAATAGTCATGTTGTCAGCTTAATTCTAAACAAATTTGTCCTTTTGTAACTTAGTCTTGACTCCACTTTCAACCCTTTGTTTTATATTCAAAATTTTTCTGCTCATATTGTAGCAACACCTACACACATAGACACCCTGTTACTTTTCATAAAATATTTAAAACAGCTTGTCTATTTTTTGAGAATTCTTTTCTACTTTTTTATTTTTACTTAATTGTGATTTTTTTTTTTCTTGCTATTAAATATGAAATTCCTCCTGTTTATAGGAACGCTGTGTAAGTCACATGCCAATAAAGAAAATACTCAACAGGGTTCTAACCCTGTGCCTGCAGGAACTGCATCTGCAGCTTGTCCTTCGTCAGGTGACACAGTCAAGGAAGGTGCTTCCAGCTGGTCTCCATTGCTGCTGATAATTCCCCTCCGTCTTGGACTCACAGATATCAACTCTCTATATTTTAACAGCCTCAAAGTAAGTGTCACTCTTTCTGATTTCTTTATACCATGCAATATATATTGTGCTTCAGTCAGGTTTATTACAGAAAATCTTGTTTATCTAAAGTGAGGGTGGGGGGAGGTTCAAAAAGGTTAGAAAGGCCCCAAGAACTATAAGTAAGACCTGGAGAAATATAAGTAATATATAAATAAAACAAGTAACTGGCACTACTGAAGATCTTCAGTGGCATTTCCATGAGGACTTTGTTCCTGGTTACATCAGGGGTAAAAACAAGAAAACATGTCCAAATTACTGGGTGGGGTGGAGACTCGGAAAGTGAAGAGAGATTGCAAGACTATAGCACCTCTCACAGCAATTTGAAAGAATCACCTAAAATGACTACAGAAGAGGAGATACAGATGGCAAAAGAGAAGCAACAACCTGTGGAAGAGAAACAGCCAAAACCTTATACTAAGATAATGCAAGAAAAATAACAAAGGCCTACAAACACAATACAAAGATATAATCCACTGCAAAACATGTGGAAGTAACATTTCTCAATAAAAAGGAGGTGAAAAAGGATGAAAGCTGGCAGTCTGATATACAATCTACAGCATAACGAAAACTTCACAAAATTACCAGACAGATTGTCTCCCTCTAAAGAAACAAATCCAGGTACTAGTAAGAAGTCTTTCTTCTTTCCCTTTAAAAAGATGTTTCAACAACCTCCGAAAGAAGAAGGTATTTGAAGAAGGAAAGGAATTTGTCAGGTGGACAAGTGGACTTGGAAAAGAAAAGAGACTTACCTGATTGTCTGAAGATCTTTTTGAAGTCCTTTTTGAAACTAGAAAAAGTAAATGACAGGAGCATGAAATGCTCAGGGAATTTTCTTTAAGACTTTGTGGTTTCATGTGCCTGAGAAACCTGTCTAGTTAGCTTGCAGGTGCTTGCAAAGTATTTCTTGAAGAAAACCTGATAGAGGTAAATAGTATGCCTTTAAAAAAGATTACAACACACAGTGCACTGGAAGGGCCCCAATTTTAGTTTACACTTCTTTATAAAAGGGCACTGTAACTGATGTTGCCCATTGGATGATTGCCAGGCAGCCTGAGACAAAATATTAATATCTTCACTCCAAAATACTTTAAATCTATCTGTTTGACACTAAAATAAATACAGCTTAAACTAGCTTGTATGACTGTGAGGAGTGCAAGATTGTAGAGGATAGTGTTTACTGAGTGGTGGCTGCTGGAGTGGGTGTTCCCTAATCATAGAGAGGCTGCCAGCAGTTGGCTGGCAATGATATTTACATTCATGTTACAATGATACTTTTGAGGGATTTTGACAGCAATTCCAGAAATGGTTCATGAATTAGTTGTGTGTATGTGTATGTCTTTTGTAGCTATTTGTTTGACTTTCCCTGACTTGGATCAGTTGAAGCAGCAAAGGACTTATTACAGACAGTGAAGACTATAAAGCATTGAAGTGAGTTGGCAGTAACAAGTCACCACAGTTTGCCCCTACAAACTGTATTTGAGGTTATTGTTCATGTTTGTTACTCTCTTAACAACAAATTCAACCAGAGAAAGCTCTCTGAACAGGTGATCAGGAGTGTAATCATGTCATTAAACAAGTGCAGGCATAGTAGTGATAAACTCCATTATTATAGGCTCAAAACTCTATTGAACAAAGAGTTAAAGATTTGGGCTGCGGTTGTCACAGTGCTGTTTGGACTGGAGCAGTCTTGTGCTTTAAAGAATCAGTCAATCCAGAACAAATTAGCAGGTCATGCCAAGCCCTAGTTCAGAGAGCATAATCAGTAACATTACACACTTCACATATAACACAAAGCTTTTATCAGAACTTTAAATTAGAAGATGGTGGCTGTAGGTTCAATTGATTTGGAGGAAAAGGGGATGCAATATGTCTGTATGTTTCCAATTGTTTCACTAATTCTTGGGTGGTAAAACAAAAGGAAAAAAAGGTACTTGTAGCCTTCTTCAAATATGAGTGTGTACTGTTTCTATATCTCTGTATTGCAAATACAAATGAGTCCCCCTCCCCACATGGCCTTATATCTCTGTCTGGCAAATACAAATGAGTTCCCCCACCACTTTTCATACTTTCCATTAAATTGGACTCTTGAGTCAGGTAGAGAGCAGAAGTGGTGAAATATTTCTAAAAGAAACCCATGGCAAATGAATCAACCAAGAGACTGTATATTGAAGCTGACATAGACTCAGAACAGAAAGGAGTGAATTTTCCACGATTTATCATCTTGGAATCAGAAGATTGACTATATTATCTCCTTTCCTAATTCAAAAGGTTATTGCTGCTAACAAAACTCAAAAAATGTGAAATATATGAATAATAGAGCAATCTTAGTGTAGGTTGAAAAAAAACATGCAGACATTCTAATGAAGCTGTTCTATAACAGAAAGATAAAAACATAGCCTTACAAAAAGCTGAATACACCAAGGGGCATAGTTCAAAATAAGGAACTCTCCCTAATGGAGGATGAGAAAAAGACTAAATTGAAAAAAACAAGCAGTGATAGATGTTAGAAGAGTCAATTAAAAAGAACAGGCAAATTATATTAGCAAATACATATATTATGATCTTCAACACATTTAATATCCCAAAATAAATAATTGGTTACACTATTGAAAAAGTAGAAATCTTTTTATTGAACTTGCTACGGTGTCACAATTACCAAAAATTTAACCACCATGAAAATGGATGCAACATTTGGGGCAAATGTAGACAGACACCCAGGCCACGGTGCAAATGAATTTAACTATTCTTATGAATAAAATATTGTGGGGAAGAACATCCAGGTTATGTAAGGATAGGTGAAGCGTGTGAAAAAGAAATAATGGCAGTCAAACACAAAAACAGTATCTGCTTTCCTGAAGCACAAAAAATTGCAGAGGGATATAGGAGAGGAAAAAGTTACTTTCAGATTGTAAAAGAAAGATTAAATGAAAAATTACTTCCATTGGAACCAAACGACTGACCCAAATTCATAAATGAAATAAAACCAACAATAAAAATGAATAACATTAGCAATACAAACACCTATTCTAAAATAAACCAAAATAAAGAATAAATAAACCAACAGAAAAAATAACTGAAGAATCAAACTTAGAACAAATGGAAAAATCAGGCAAAGAACAGAGAAGACAAGGTGCAAAACAAACATTGGCTTAGGGGGAAACAAGTAAAAAAAAAAAAAAAAGAGAGAGCATGAAGACTGTTGCCAAATAAGATCAGGTGCATCCTTCTTCCCCACCACAGGGAAAAGGCCAAAGGTCAGAATAGATCTGACGAATAAATTTGAATACTTAGAAACAATGTATATTGAGGGGAAAAAAATTACCCCTAAAATAATGCAAATGGAACATACAATATTTGAAAGTTAACTTTAATTAAATACAACTCCTCATTACAACTGGCAATAATATGCCTGCAAGAAACCCACCTGAAAGATCATCAAACTACACATCATACAATCATATAAATAAACTGAGAGAGCCTTGGAACATAGGCAGTGCATCAATACCTATTAATAACAATCCTTACAGTGAAGTAAACTTAAAAAGAAATATACAGGTAGTTGCAATATCTGCAACCTTAAAAAAAATAGTAACCGTTTGCTATACATATCACCACTAGAAACAATCAATGAAACAGCTAAACTACTTAATTCAGCAATTTAATTGAAGACCAACAGTCATAACAAGTTGTGGAGCAGTAAGGAAACTAATAAAAAAGATAGAATTATAGAGGCACTGTTAAACCAAGGACAGTTGTGATTGTTTAAGGACAAAGCAAACACATGTCTATAATCAGCAACAGGAACCTATTTTGCAACTGATTTAACAATATGCATCCACAGTATATACATGAATTATAACTGGAAAACTTATGATGACACATGCAAAAGTGACTATCTTCCTATCATATTAGCAAATCATAACCCAAACTTAGACAATAAAATACCATTATAGAATCTCTGGAAAACTAACTGGGGAAAAAATTCAGAAACTTCTGTCAGTCATGGTTGTCAGTAGCTAATATTAACAACGAGGAACACATGACATTTTATCAATACTCTATAAGCTAAAGATAATCATTCCAAAAGTTTCCTAGTCATCGTTTAACTATGAATGCAAAGAAGCAGTAAAAACACACTGCAAACCTAAGAAAATTCAAGAACAACCCAACCAAGGAAAATCTGGACCTGTATTTTTTTTTTTAAAAAAAAAAAAGTAAAAGAAAATACAGCAGAGCTAAAGCATGTAGAATTATTAAATAATCCAAACAAAATATGTGGAGAAACTATTATGACACTTCTTGCCAGTTGCTCCTGGGTCAATTCCTATGCTGGTCAATAATGTTGAAGTAGTCGCTTCAGTCTGTGCCCTGCCCTGCTCTACCCACGTGTATTTTGATCACAGAGCTCGTAAAGACTGAGTTGTTGTCAGCAATCGTAGTTCTGGACAAAACCATGGCGAAGCTGTGACACAAAGAAAAAATTTAAAAAAATGTTCTTTGTAGACAAAATAAAAGAAGGCAGCAAATTCTTCAAGTCAATTTTCAGTGTGGTTTATATAGTTCATTGTACAGAAAAATTAACCCTTCCCACTTTGAATTCTATTGTGACCATATTAATTCATTCCTTCTCTTATTCATGCATCACACTACCACCTCCCAATGAGAGGAGACAATTCCTCCATCCCTCTATTAGCAAGTATTTGGTCTCCATATCTCGTTTGTTCAATTGTACTTATGAACCCGGACCCATATCTTAAAGAATTTCTATTTCTTGAACTGTTTACAATTTTCAGTCTTTTTTACAGGCAAAATAAATCATTTTCCCTATTTTGCCTTTGTCTCTGAAAATTCCCAAATATTATTTTTTTTAATTGACTTCCTTTCCAGAGAACTTTTAGTAAGTAGTCATTAATTAGTTTCTGCAAGTCGGCTTTGTTTTTGAATTCTCAACTGTCTTCGAATGTATTTTCACCATTCCTCTCTAACCCTGTCAGTTTGCATTCTCCAGATGGCTTTCTTGGCAATATCTTTCTCCAAAACAACAAAATCACTTTCTTCAAACTGTCTCTGCTTAAAAAAAATAGACTTTTCAAAAATAAAAGCAATTTTGCCTCTCCTCTTAGTTTATCTATCATTCCATTTTTTAATCCTTTTCAAGTTATATTCTTAACTTAAGAACATAGTGCCACGTATCATGAATAAATTTGAATACAAAAGGATATGGGATATGATTTAGAAAATATCAGGGTAGAATAGTAAGAACCCAATCAAGCACCTTGTTTGCAATTTAATAAAGATAACTGAGAAGAAAGAGTTAGCAGACTATATGGCTGAAAAATTCCCAGAAAACTCCTCTTCCAAATGGAAGAAAGTTCAAATCATCAAGTAGAATGAAGAAAATAATAAAATTAGTTTCAAGTCAGCAAACAAAGAAAATTGCAACCATTCAATTCACCAGAACAAAATTAGAAGAAGCACTTAATAAATTTTGTGATACAGCTGTTGGCCCTGATGAGGTGCATTATGAATTTCTAAAACAATTACCAGAATCATCCTTAAACAACTTGCTACAAATTTATGGTATATGAGCTAGTAATAACATCTTCACAATTTGGAAGTAAGCCACTGTTATCCCCATACCAAAACCAAGTAGAAACAAAACGGACCCAACAAATTATCAACTTACAACTCTCACCAATTGTGTGTAGAGAACTTTTAAAAGAATGGCGAACAACAGATTGATGTGATATTTGGAGACAAACCATTTGATTACAGAATATCAATCAGGTTTCAGAAATAAAAAAAAGTCCTATTAAACCATTTAGTTCATTTGGAATTCTTAATACAAGAAGTGTTTGTCAAACAAAACATCTAGTTGCAATTTTCTTTGACCTTGAGAAGGCCTACAAGATTACCTGGAAGTACGGTATAAAGAGAGACTTACAAAATTTTGGAGCTACTTTCATTTCCAAATTCCTAGAAGGTAGATATTTCCAAGTACCAAAGAGGTAATATTTTTTTAGCCCCTAAAGAATAAGAAATGGGCGATCCACAAGGAAACATTTTGTCTATCACTCATTTTAACATAAAAATAAATAATATAGTAAAAAATCTAAATACCAGGACAGAATGCACTCTATATGTGGCTGATTTTTTTAATTTGCTATTGATGAAATTACATGCACACAACAGAATGCCAACTTCAACTGTCTCATAAAAATAAACAAATGGTCCACAGAGAATTGCTTCAAATTTTTTAAAGACAAAATGAAATGCATGCACTTTTGCCAACATCAAAAGTTGTTGTGTGATCCTATTTTGAAATCTTTGGCAAAAAAAAAAACCCAACATTTGTACCCCATGTGAAATACCTAAAATCCAAATGCAATAAGGTTTTGCAGCTTCTTCTCATTCTAGCACACACTGTCTAGGATGCATAAAAAGCTATATTAATCAAACTTTAATGCTCATTAGTCAGATTTAAACTAGATTATGGTTTTTTTATATATGGAGCAGCAATAAAATCATATATAAATAAAACATGATATGGTGCACCACTGGGGACTGAGATTAGCTTTGGGATCTTTCACAACCTACCCAGTAGAAAGCTTATATACAAAAGTTAATGAACCTTCATTGACAATAAGAGGAAAAAAAAACTAGAATTGCAATATTGCTTAAAGTTCTCATCATGCTTGTCAAATCCAACTTACAAATGTGTCTTCCATCCACAATATACAGCTCTTTTCAACAAAAAAGTAAAGATCATTAAGCTGTACAGCCTCTGTATAAAAGATTTCCTCAGTGAAGCCCAGATAAAACATAACACAAATCCACGAGTCCTTCAAATCAACATCTTCACCTTGGATGATCAAGCAACCCAAATATATTGCTAGAACTAAATGTAAAAAATCAAAAACCATCCCTACTATCTTCCACAAGGAAGTACTTACTATCAAAAAATATATTTCCTGATCATTCACCAATATTCATTGATGGAGACAAAGTGAGATGTGTTGTCATTCATAAAAACATAATCAATTAAATGAATTCTAGACACAGTTTCTATATATGGTGCAGAAATATCTGCCATTAACTTAGCCCTTGACATCATCATAACATTGAGTAATTACAAGAATTTTCTCATCTCTTATAGTCTCTCTCTGTCATTTCTTACAACTCTAAAAAAAATAAGTAAATGACTGGGCCACTAACTACAAACCTACTAAATAGAATTAACACCATGTTAAAAAATAGACATCATCATTTGCTGGATACCCAAACCATGTTGGCATCTGCCAATGACAGAGCTGATAAAGCAGCAAAAAAGTCATTAACACTGAATGTTTCTACAAACAAAATACAATACACAGACTTTAAGTAAACTATTAACAAATACACTTTAAGAAATGTGGAACTTCTGATTGTGCAACAAGTTATTTCACACTAGCTCAAAAGACGCCCTGTCAGGAGGCAATTAAGCTAGCTCCTGTGGAGAGCCATTGATTGAGCCTTCAGCTTGTACAGGAATTTAAGAGTCCCTAAGTCTTTGCATATTCTTAGCATTGGAAGCTTTCCTGGCTGCCATTTGATCTGGGTTTTCATTTGCATGGGACTTTTTTTTCCTTGCTGCAGCCTTGACCTTTTTAATTGCAATCTGGTCCTCTGTTAGCAGAGATTTCTTTTTGCGAGGCATACTACTGCCGTATGCGATAGGCAACAATAAACTGACAAAGAACTCAAAATTGATCGCTGCATTTAAGTATTGCATAAATATTTAAGCTTACCATTTAAAAGTTCAATGATGATTCTTCTGCTGCTACTTAATTTAAAGGCAAATTGATGTATGTAGGTCCTTACTTTCCATACAAACAATTATTTTTATTTCATGGGTGACTTTTGCTGGATTTCGCAATTCATTTTGATTATTCCCAAGTTATAAAAATCATTGTTATACAAAAAAATTTGTCCCAAAAAACGATGTAAAAAAAAATGTCAGGAAAATTTTTAACCACTATAAAATTTAAAGTTATTAAAACTTTGGATTTTACATTGGTTAAAAATGTTCCACTGCTAAATAACCCACATAAGGTTGATATTCTATAAAACAAATCAATCAATCAATCGAATAAAAGAGTAAGGGCAATGCAATCATTATCTCAACAGCCAAGCACTGGTGAACATTGTAATTTTGGATACTTTTGTGACATACAGTGGCCGTTAATAATTAAGTATAACTCAAGACTTCAATGTTAAGATAAAACAGTATTTAATTACAACAGCAAATAAATAATTAACAAAAATAAAGACGTAAAAGTTAACCAAAAATAATTAACCATTTCAGTGAATGCCTTGTTAGTAACATGGCTTGGTTTAACATCCAGTAAATCCTAAATGAAAGCCCAAATCATCGATGCACGATAATTCACACTAATTTGACTGGATAGTTCCACTGAATAATCACTCCAGTCATTAGCCTGACACTGCTGTTTATACACCTGGTGGAAAACATATATTCATAAGTCCAGTGTGTCATGCTCAAACCTCGGTATCAGTAGTTACTCATTTTCTTCCTATATGACAGACACTCTTCTCATTTAATTAACATAAAATATGTTTGGTGATGATGAAATAATTTTTCTGGATGTTAATGCATCTTGCCCCAGAGAAAAGAGTGTTAAAGTTTTTCTTCAGGAAACTTATCAACTCAATGTTATGGCCAACAAACAGTATAGATTTCAATCAAATTTATGATGAAAATTAAAAAAAAAAGGTCAATGACAAGAAAGTTGAAACCAGCTCAGTAGAGAATATTGTTTTTCATTAGTGAAGTGCAAGCTTCAAATAATTCAGTCTATCATCAAAGCTTACAGAGGAACATGAAGGAGTGGACTTTTTTTTTTCTTTTTAAATATTGATGATTCCATAATTTTCCTCTATTTGATCTAGAAAAAATTATCTGATTAGTTAAATTAATTGTATTTGTTTGAGTTTTTTTTTTTTTTCTTAAAAACCATAATGTTCAAATTTCTGTGATTTGTTTATTTGCTGTAAAGTAAAAGAAAACAAGATGTACATCTCATTCTGGTGATCCTGTCATTTTTACCAAGAATGACTTTGTACTGAGGAATTTTTTTTTGTTACTCAACTTCTTTATCTATAAAGGATTAAAAGACCTACTTCTTAATTAAAATAATCATTAAGCCTAATAAATCTGGCCACTATTTTTCATTTTCACTGCTCAATTTGTTTTTGATAATCTTGCATACAAAATTAATATTTAAGAGTACATTATTATCATTATCATCATTTTCTGCATTCTGTTTCAGTTATGTTTGTCACTAAAACAATCAGTTGGAATTATTGGAGGGAAGCCAAACCATGCACATTGGTTTATTGGTACTGTTGGTAAGTAGAGGAGAAAAGGACTAATTACATTTATTAGTGTAAATAACAAAATGGTGAAACAGTAATTCTGTTGAAAATGTAGTGCAAAAATAGAATGTGATCCGTGTTTTGTTGATATTTGCAATGTTTTTTTTTCTCTTCTTGTCAGTACTGCAGGATTTCATGACTTTTTTTTAATGGGTAAACAAATTATAAACTGTATGAAAATTGCATACACATTACCTTTGAAGTCCATTACCATTAAGTTGCAATGTTTTAATTTTAAAAGAAAAGTGAAAACTGTGTTAACCAATCTTTCCTTGTCACTTTTGATTTTTGCCTTGTGCTTTATCTTTCTCAAATGAATTTGCTTTATCTATTTAAAACCTGGTTTTATCGAAGGCATTTCTGAAGGTGTGTATTAATGTCAGGCTTTTATTGGAGTGCAAGAATATTAATGACATTTCACTAATTTTGGTTCATCACATGTATGTAATTATTGCTATTTAATAGTAGATGTAAACTGAAGTGCCAAAAGTTTAGACCCAGTATAACACAGGATAGTTTTATCTTTTTCCATTTGTAGAAATTGACAACCTAGATGACCTATGTGTGACATAATAGGTAGTGTAGCTGTGGCAGTTATGGAATGGGGCACACTCAGGTGGAAACTGTTCTAGGTGTTAGTAGATTAGGGTTATGCATAACATCTAATAAGAATTTTCTTTGACCTTGAGAAGGCCTACAATTGCAGTAATGAAAACTTGATGACTATGAAACCCCCATCATCAACAAATATTGTTATCTTTACCACAGTATTGTTTACTGTGTTTTACATGAGCTAGGGAACATCAGCATTGGACTGGAAGATTGGTGCCATGTTACCTGATCAGATAAGTCATGTTTCCGGTTCTTTCATACAGATAAGTTGAGTTTGTGTGGAGGAGACTCTGTATGAGCCAATCAGTAGAGTTTTGTGCAAGGTGACTCTGTAATGGTGTAGGATGATCAGAGTAAAACTGGAATTTGTCTTGAAAAGTGTGAGATACATAATTCATGTTAAATAATATTTGTATGTTTGTATGCTTTCCATGTTTCCTTGTGGTGCTGGCTTGTTTCAGCAAGATAATACAACTCTCTATTGTATGCAGGAGACATGAAACATTTTTTTCAGGAAAACTTAATTGATTTTCAGATTACTCTGTTGACTATCATGCTTGACAAATTTAAATTTCATTGTATGTATGAGGCCTGATCAAAAAATATTGTGATTGTTGCTATGATAATGGTGCCAAAGTACTCAGAGTAGAGCCACTTGGTACAGATTGACTTTGAACTCTGTTGTGCATACATGTTATAACGTTCTCACTAACTTCTTTTATTTATACCAATGCTTGGATGGAAAGTGTGTAGAGTGTGGCTGTCTCATCGCACCACAGATGTTCCATCGGTGAGCACAACAGAGAAAGTTGAGCAGAGAATCTGCATAAAATTGGTTTTGGGGTCTATGTCTATGACCCCCAAAACCAAGGCTCAATCTTCACAGTAGAAGACCCCAACTTCTCTGAATTCAAAGAAAGAGCAAATTAGTCAAAGCAATGTGAATACAGTTTTCTTTAACTACAAGAGCATTATTCATTATGAGTATGCTCCACCTGGTCGGAAGGTAAACATGGAGTACTACTGTGACATTTTGCAGTGTTTGTGGGATGTTGTTCATCAAAAAAGGACAGAATTGCATGCATCCAGTGAGTGGCAACTCCACCATGACAATTCACCTGCAGCAGTTTTTGAAACTGAACAACATTCCTCACGTTCAACAACCACCATATTCCCCAAACCTCACTCCCTGTAACTTTTTTCTCTTTCCAAAAGTCACATCCCACTTGAAAAAAAAAAAAACAATTTCAAGATGACTTGAAAATTCAAGAGAATGTAATGAGGCAGCTGCTCACTATCCAAAAAAAGGAGTTCAGGAATGTTTCCAACAATGGAAACAATGCTGGATAAAGTGTGTGGCTTCAGGAGGGGACTACTTGGAAGGAGATTAGATGCTGAATTGGTGTATGTTATTTTATTTTTTTATAGCATCAGTCTCAATAATTTTGATCAGACCTTGTATATAGGACATATTGCAGTAGTTACTAAATTCTTTGCAGCACACTACTCAGTTATGGGCATCTTTGAATATACGCATGTAATTACTCAAGAAGCATGTTATGTGACTCTGCTGTTATTCAGGTAAAGCTGAAGAGCAGCATGTTGCTTAGTAACTGTCACTAATTTTTAGGCTTCTTCAGATTATAATTAAATGCTATGAAGTAGATATTTGCTTGACTTTTGTTGTGTCCTGGCATTGGTCAAGAATAAATTTTTTCTCCAGGAGATGAGCTTGTCTACCTTGATCCTCATACCACACAACCAGTAGTGGATTTAGATGAAGTTGGTAGCCGGGATGACTCCTACCATTGTCCACACAGTTCTCGCATGAAGGTCCAGCAACTCGACCCTTCAGTTGCTTTGGTAAGTGTATGATTTGTTACTCTTTCCTTTTCTAACATCAAAGAACATAAAACTTCTGTTGCATTCATTCTTGTTATACTTTTGCTGCCTTCTTTTTTGTTCTGTTTAGGGATTTTTCTGTTTGAATGAACAAGAATTTGATGACCTCTGCAACGCATTCCGAAGCAAGATGGTTAGCAAGACGCCCATGTTTGAACTGCACAGAAAACGTCCAAAGCATTGGCCTGCTGATTCTTATGTGGCTGCTGCTGCTGCTGCTGCGACTGGAGCAACTAAGACCGGTCAGTCAAACCATTTATTTATTTTTCCAAGTTCATTTCACAATGCATTATTCCAGAGAGAATAGGGTTTTCGTGAATCATAATTTTAAAAAGTTCTACAAACTGCAAATCTAAAACAGCATTTAATGCCAAATGTTTTTCTGCTTTTATCTTATAACTTCTATTAAGTTTTTTTGAGAAAGTTTAACAAATGTACCTGCAAAAAAAATGGTGTATGAAAGGGATAAGTTTTTGCTTGACACCATTGTTACTGTAGATTCTTTCAACATAATTTTAATTATACACAAACATATGAAACTGGATTTATGCATTTTTTTTCTCTTGAAAACTGACAACAAAAATATAAAACTCTATTTATGAAATTGTTAATTTACAAGAATAATTTTATATTTACAAGTTTATAAAATATGTGAAGCAACTACAATACAATGTTTGTTATTTACCATGTGTTATGACTTCATTCCGTTGAAGATAGCACAATCATGAAATATAATGTTGCTTAGAGTCAACATATTCTTACTGAATTCTATATTAAAAATGTAAGTCTTGCTCTTGGCTAGCTCTCTCCTCGTAATTCTCAGCACCAGTATATATGCTATTTGGACAGGTAAGAATTTGTGTAAGAATTTAATCATTATTTCAGTAGTAGGTCGTTTACACTTTAATATCCCGAGTCATTTTGTGAAACTGTCAACCACAATTAAATAGTATGAACTGTTTAGTGGTCCAGCAAAATTCCTATATAGTCTTACCCACAGTTTATCAGTGCTCAGTCATACCTGATAATTTATATGGTGTGATTTTACTGCTGAATTACAACCATTAAATTTTCTAACTGTATTTTGAATACCTTTGGCCAATAAAAGTAGCTTCTCATCAAGGACTTCATCTTCACTATTCCTGGATGTCCTATGTGGAATTTTTTTCAAAATCCTTTTTTGTAGTGATAATGGCATTATTACTTTTTCCACGGACAAATGCTCTATTATTGTTACCAGGTTTAATTTTGGCTTTACTATAATGTAACCCTCTTTTCCCAAGAACATGCAGCCATACAATGTAAATCCTATATCTTGTAGATATTTTTACCTTGCGATGGCTATGGGGTCAAGTTGGTTACAGTTTTAAACTGGTCAAGGAGTTGGTGCCAATTAGGTCGTTGATTGTCTAGAGTTGCTGGTAAGTGTTGTGTTTGTTACTGACAAGAAAAGGGGAGTTGCCCTTCCTCTTGATTTAGTAAGGTGTGGTATTTTCTTTGACAACTGGGCTGAAAAAAAAAGAAAGTCATGCTCTTGTCAGAAGAAGAAGAAAACCTGATCTTAGTTGAAAAAGATAGTTTTAATAATAGTAAATAAAGATAGAATATTTACAAAAGTTTGATATAGCTTAACACCTGGAGTGGGTAGTGACTTGGAACCAAAGTATGTATTCTCAAATTTTTATCAGAGAATTGAACATCAAGTTAATTTCAGATGAATGTGAATTGTGTGTGCGTTGATCAGCCAATCTTCGATGTATCTCTCCTCTCGATTCTTCAAGTTGTCTCTATATGCCTCTATTTGCTAAAATGCTTTATATATGAAAACCCATCCACCCACGGGTTTTCTCACAATTCCTCAATCATGAGAGGAGTCAAAAAAGGTCATTTTCTCTGGTTTGTTTTTAGCTTATCCAGACTTTAAATATCACCAGCTTTCAAGGCCAGCAGCATTCAAGATAACAACCTTACATATTCATCTGATAAGAATCTAGGTGAACAAAATACTGTCACCTGTCAAGATCTGCTGTCCTTTGAACAACAGATGCTTTTCACAATCAAATTTTCCTGGGAAAATTTGATTTCACCCAAAGATTCAAACTTATAATTTTTTTCTATTCCAATTCGCTACCACCAGAAACCAGAATTATGAAATATACTTCCCTAACAAGTTACTTTGTTACATTTCGACTTAACGTCATTCATAGTTTTTTGAATAAACATATCCTTTTTAGAATGAATTTTCGTATCGTCTGTTGTGACTGTATATTCTTTAATAGTGTTACACACTAGGCTTTTAATTTTGCTTTCAGATTCTAGCAAAGCAATCACAGTCTCTTCAAAATCTTCTTTACATTTTGATATCGGTCTGGACAAGCAATCTGTGTCCCAATTTCTTTGATGATAGAAATTCCATCTTGAAATCATAGTTCAATAAAATTGTAGCCCAATGCTATAATCTGTTTGTAGTATGTGGGAATCCCTTTCTTAGAATTGAATATACTTAATAATGGATGATGATCAGTTTGCAGTATGAATTTTCTTCCTAATATCGTCCAGTAAAATTTCTTTACAGCAAAAATTATAGCAAGCACTTTCTTTTCAATTTGACTGTAGCATTTTTCTGTATTTGCCAAACTTCTTGAAGTGTGAGCAACTGCTTTTACTGTACCATCTTCAAAGTTATGGCCTATTACATAGGCCTCCTTACTTAGCTTGTGTCCAATGCTATGTTATCTGTCACTGCAGGTCATAATGTGTCAACAGTAACTCTGGAGTTAGTTTTTTAATTCCTTGAAAAGCTTTTTGACTTTCTGCTAACCAATTCCATTTCGTACCTTTCTTAAGAAAATTATTCAAAAGTGCTTGCAATTTGTACATGTCTGGCACATACATATTCTAATTAATTTACTAATCTGAGAAATGATTGTAAGATCACCAAATTTGTCAGGGGTGGCATGTCTTTAATGACATTTGCTCTAGTGGGATCTGGTCTTATTCTTTTTTCGCCAGTTATCTGACTTTAAATATTTAATCTTATCCATAAAGAACTGACATTTCTTTTCACTAAGTTTGAAACCGTGATCATGAGTCTCTGAAATATTTGTTGAATCAGTTTTATGTGCTGTATTTTTGTAGTCCTTTTAATAAGTATATCGTCTATGTAAGTGACGGCACCTACTAGTACAGCCAACATCGTATCCATTATTTGCTGGATAATATCTGGGGCTACTTTTACACCAACGGGCAATCTTCTAAACTTGAAAAGTCCTTTATGTGTATTAATAGTCAAATACTCTGACATTCCTCATCCATTTTGATTTAAAGATTCAGATAGGTCAATTTTTGAAAAATATTTACCACCATTTGGTAAATATATCCTCTGGAGTTGGTAGGCGATATACATGTGGTATGAGGCAGTTATTCAACCCTGTCAAAAATCTGTTTTTTCAATAACTCTGTAGGTTTCTACCCTATCAAGTTTGGAGTTAATAGACTCCTATGCAGCAAAGGATATTTTCCTTTTAGACTTGAAAACTGGTATCACATTTTCTTTTAATTTGAAAAATACCTTTGACTTTGTACATTTTCCCAACTCCTCTGAGAAAATATTTGAATTCATTTTTTAGTTTGCTCAGTGTTTCTTTAGCTGTAATCTTTTTCTCTGATGAACAGCTTTTCCACAGAATGACTTAACTGTCCATAGTTCAAATAATTCTAGCCAATCAGCGTCTAGTAAATTCAAATTTTTTAGTATGTAAACATCTGCTTATTTTAGTTTTACCCACAAGAGCAATGTTACATGTAATTTTCCCAAGAAAAATTAGTTTTTTGCCTGATATTCCTCTTACAACTTTGTTTTTTTTTAGTTTTTGTTTTTTCAGGTAAGGCTTGCCAATTCTAAGTTCATCAATAATTGTAATATTGCTACCAGTGTCCAACTAAAATCTCACTGTAGATTCATTTTTACTGTTATGAATTTTCTATTATTTGAACTTTACATTTTTTTTTTATTTTTTTTTACTGGTAGCACTACTTTCAGCAAGTTAATTTGTGTATTTCTTTTGCTTTTTGATTTGCAGTAGCTTCATTTGTGACCTGTTTTTCTACAATTAAAACATTTTTTTGTTTTAAATGGATAGTCATTACTGAAATGTATCATTCCATAGCATAGGTTAAGTTTGGCAATATTTTTATTTTGGATATTTTCTTTTGATACTACTATCTTTTTTCAAACTACTTATACTTTTGACATGCCATTTTACTCAATTTTCACAGTATCATGCCTTAAATTGTCAATTTTTTTGCAGTCTTCCATAACAGTCTGTATTGTTAACTTTGAATCTTGTTCAAGTTTTGAGAGCATATTTCTGCTTTGTTGCTTGATGTTAGACATTTAACGAAGATTAGGCATTTAAATCTGTCTGGGGATAGTTCATCCAGTTTAAATTTCTCATACTCACAGTTGACATTACCAGCATATCTGACAAAAATCTTCATTTTCATCCTCAGTAAGGTTCATGCATTGCCAATGTGTATAAAAAAGTGAATTCTTTTCACCAAAAATTTTTATAATATTGACACCATTTTGTTAAATGACACATTTTCTGGAGTATTTGGCAAAATAAAATTCAGTTATTTTTCATGTTCAGTGGCGCACAAATTTTGTAACAGAAGACCTACTTTCTTTTCATCCAACCATCCTTGACATTCTTCACTGAAAATGGCCTCGTACCTTCTGAAGTATGATAGGAATGTCAGGTTTTCTTCTGGGATGTAATTATATTCACTAATTGAATTAGTAATTGAGTCTGGAAAAAATGAAATTGACACATTGCCTGTTCATTGCTTTTCCAGGTTTGCCTTCAACTGTTCTCAATATTCAATCCACTACCATTGCATTTGTTGTAATAATTGCTGAATAATTATCTTCGATTCTTCCATAGTGTATTATTTTCATACAAGTAGGTCTTAACTTGGAAGAAAATTTTTTTTTTTTTTTTTTTCCCTAATAGCAGTATGTCACAAACCCTGGGAATTTATCAATGTCTGCATCACCCTATGAATATACATGAACTCTACAAAACTTTTGCCAGGTAGTTATACAGTAATAGTATCAAGAGAAAAAACATCCTTTTAACACACCATTTTTTTGCAGGTATATTTGTTAAACTTTGCTAATTTTTCTCCATTTAATTTACTGTAAAAAATAGCAGTATATTATTTATATTCAGACTAATGT